TTCAAAACGATAGACTGCATTCATAATTAAAATGTATAAAGCCGAGAGGACGAAACCTCAATGTTGATAACAACATACAAAGGAGCCCACCCCTGAGGTGACCTAAAACAGTACATCCACAAATAAGCTACAGGCAGAAATACATCAGAACCCTATAGCTATAACAATTGGTTCAGAAAATAAAAAAAGGATGACAACACAGGTATTTGATCTTTGCTGCATGTAGAACAGATAAATGAAGTGTGATATTTACTGAACCTTAGGACCTAGATAACCTCACTCCCATCACTGCACTTCTCTAATCCACCTGCATTGTTTGAATTCCAACCAATCTCCATGTGCTGCCTTAATAACAACTTGTTCTGGCATCCAATTGTTTTGAAATTTCCAAAGATTCCAAGACTTCCATAGCCACCACAATATGTAGGTTGTCAACTCAATCCTGGCTTCTGAAATGTCCCTCTTATCCACTGAACATACATCCCACCACCAATGCTTGAATGAATCTGATAAAGCTGGCTCTTCCCAATTCAGTGATGACAATTTTCAAATTCTCTTGGTTCTGGCACAGTGCAACAACATGTGCTCAACAGTTTCAATCTCCTCACCACAACATTTGCATATTGGATCAATGTCTAAACCTCTCTTCCTTAGATTACTACAGACAGGGAGAGTATCTGTGTAGTATCTCTAGATAAAATGTTTAAGCTTCTGCTTAATCTTGAGGGCCCAACTTCTGATTCTGACTTTCTTTTCAATTTGTTGAGAATTGCTACTTTCAACTGAATCAATCTCCCTCAATTTGTTAAGTACCAAGTAGGAGTAAGAGCTGGAGACAGAAAACTTACCCTTACTGTCAAGTGACCATATCCATTTGTCTGTCAATAGAGGATCCAAGGTTGAGATCTTCAGAATGGCTGCTGCATCAGAGGGATTGAAGAACTCCTCAACCTTCCTTCTCTTCCAGGATCTGCCATCTTCTCCTATTAATTCATGCACCCAGGTTACCTGTCTAACCCTTCTTCAGTTTTCTCAAGCATACCATTTCCTGCTTCTGGAATCTAGGGATCACCCATATGCTGGTGCCATTTTCATTCTTTACCATCACTTTAAAGAACCTTTTGAATTTGTCTTTTACCGCTAACCAATGACACCAGAGCCAGGAAGTATTATAAGGCTTCTTGGCATGAAGAATAGAGCAATCTGGAAATTACTTCCCTTTGAGGACTCTAGTAACCAACAGGTTGGGAATGGTGAGTATTCTCCATATTTGCCTTAGTATGATTGCTTCATTGAATAATTCTACATCTCTCAATCCTAATCCTCCAGCTTCCTTTGGCAATGTGACTTTTCTCCAATCTTTCCAATGAACACCAGTAAACTGATCATTTGTTGCCCACCAGAACCCAGCAGATAACCTGGAAATTTCCTTGCATATGCCTTTAGGGAGACAAAAACAAGACATAGAAAATACAACGAAGCCCCCAATACAGCTTTCATAAGAACCTCCTTGCTTGCAAATGAGAGATATTAATTTTTCCAATTCATAAGTTTGGTTCTGACTGCAGCTAACACATAATCAAATGATTCTTTTTTTTACCTACCAATACCTAGGGGAAGTCCTAGGTACCTAGTGGATATTTGAACCCGAATTCCTCCCAACAGCTGATAGATTGAGTTTTGATTGGAAAGCAAGCAATTTTTACTGAAATAGATAGAAGATTTGTTCAGATTCACTTTCTGCCCAGTAAACCTTTGATATTTATGCAGCAAATTCAGAAGAATATTAGCATGATTCACATCTGCCTCACAAAGTATTAATGTATCATCAGCAAACATGAGATGGGTCACAGCAGGACTTTTCTTTGCAATTCTCATACCCTTAAATCTTCCTCTTCTCACTTCAGAATTAAGCAATTTGGAGAAAAATTCAGAGATAATAATAAAAATGTAAAGGGACAGTGGGTCCCTTTGTCTAATGCCTCTAGAAGCCTTGAAGTAGCCTTGCATTTCTCCATTTATATTTAAAGAGAAAGAGGTAAAAGAAATACAAGCACCCACCCATTTAACAAAATTAACATGAAAGCCCTTTTTCAGCATCACCTTCTTCACTGCTAACCATTCAATTCTATCAAATGCTTTCTCCATATCTAATTTAATCAACATGAAGCTTTTCTTCCCAGTTTTAAGCCTATTCAAATATTGAATGGCTTCCTGAGCTATAACCACATTATCCAAAATTTGTCTGTCAGGTATAAAAGCTGATTGATTTTCACTCACACACCCAGACAGACAAGGCTTCATTCTTAATGACAGAATTTTAGCAATTGTTATATAGGATACACTGCACAAACTTATAGGTCTATACTACTTAAGAGTAGAAGAGTTCAAACATTTAGGAATCAGAGAAATGAGGGTATGATTCCAACTTGTCAATAATTTTCCCAGAATAAAAAAAGCTATTAATTGCATTACAAAAGTCAGCAGAAATAATGTGCCAAAATTTTTGGAAGAAGATAGGGCTCATACCATCAAGTCCTGGAGCTTTTTCTGGGTTTAGACTGAAGACTGCTGCTTTGATCTCATCTTCTGTAATTGGAGCAATAAGGGATTCATTCATTTCTGATGATATGGAGGATGTAATAAGATTGATAATTTCTGCATCCCCTCTTGATCCCACTGTTTTGAAGAGCTTCTCATAATAACCACAGATATGATTTTTAATATCTTCTTTATTCTCCAGTGTTTGATTGTTTTCATCTACTAATCTTGTGATGGCATTTAGCTTCCTTCTCTGCAAAGTCAAGGCATGAAAATATTTAGTGTTGGAGTCACCTTCCTTAATCCACTGTATTCTTGATTTCTGGGCCCAGTACTCTTCTTCAGATTTGTTCAGCCTGTCCAGCTCTCTTTTAAGTCTGCTCCATTCTTCCCAATCTCTTTCAGAACCCATTTTGCTCATGCTGTCTAGTGTGGAGCTGATTTCATTCTTCTTCTATACTTGCTCTTTTCTGAATAGTGCACTCCATTTGAGTAAGGCCAATCTTGTGGATTTAATCTTTTCTGAGACTTGATACATAGGAGTGTCACTTTGTTCAGTTTGCCAGCCTTCTTGGATAACTTCCTGAATACCATCCCTTTGTAGCCATCTTTTGTTAAAAAAGAATCTCTTGGTCTTGCATGTTGATCCGTCAGGTTTCTCAGTCAAAGCCAACAGCCTATGATCAGAAGAGCTTCTGAATATAATTTGCACCTCATCATTCTGGTGATCTGCAAGCCAATCAAAAGAAGCAAAGATTTTGTTTATTTTTTCTTCAATAAAACCCTCATCCCCTCTATTATTACCCCAGGTGAAATTATGCCCTACCAAAGGAAGCTCTAGCATGCCCATTCTGGAAATAAAATCATTAAAGCCTCTGTAATCACCCTCAGACTTTTGTCTACCTCCCTTTTTTTTCACTAGGATTACAAATCTCATTCCAATTTTAACCAAATTTTTATATGTTGGTCAAGTTCAATGTTCCAATTACTTTTTTTTTTAGAGCAATTTTGTAAAATAGCATTTTATCATATATTTTCTAACATGATAAACACATATATTCCCCCTAAAAAAATAACTATATTGATGCAGAATAATAATAATAATAATAATAATAATAATAATAATAATAATAATAATAATAATAATTTTTATTATTATTATTAGTATTTAGTAATTGGTGAATAAGTTAGGTTTAGGGTTTTAGGAGTCTTATTTAAAGATTACTTATTCTTTGTTATTTGCAGTTGAATTTAATAATAAGAATTGATTGACTCTTATGAGTTTTATCAAGAGAGTATCTCGTTTATCCTTCTCATTCATACGCTTCTCTACATCAGTTGGTATTATGTTCGTTTATCGAGAGAGTATTTTGTTTATCTTTCCCACTCGTACGTTTCCCTACATCATATATTGTACATAATCATTTTTCCTAAAATGTAAATTAATGGTATTTCGACTTCTACCCTCAAGCCAAAAACCAAAATGTTTTGATCATATCATAAAAACACTACATGTGGACT